AGCCAGATGAGTTAGCTTTTCAACGCATTTTGAATCGCCTCAATCGGACATTGGAATACAAAGTTATGATAAAAATACTGAAAGAAGGTGCAGCTGCCTGTTTAAAACAAGAAATTCCGTTACATAGTCCGTTAAAACAACAAATTCCGTTAGTTTTTCCATTAAAAATAAGAAATTCCATTACATAGCCACTTTTAATATATAGAAGATGTGGGTTCAAGAAGTTTAAGATGATACCAGATGAGAAATTTTTCACAAAATTTTTAAAATTTAAATGTACATAAACACAATAGCACGCAGTATAATATTTTGTCATATTATGTAAAGATTATATATAGAACGGCAAACGTCGCTTAAGTAATATATTCGAGGAACTCGAGATCTCAAAATCAATGCAATTGACTGGCAGTGAAAGTACTCAGCCCGGCGACAGGTTTTTTATCAGTATTATACAGGTTTGAAAACCTGCCATAATTGGCCATAAAAACAAATAAAACAAAAATGAATATACCAGAACATGAAAAGTTAGTGAGCAACAAAATCTCATCTACCTGTATCAAATTTCAGTTGATCTTAAATTTCATTTGCCCACATAACACATAGTCTACAATCCTGTAGTGAGTGCTTTCAACTCCATCTTATACAAGAGGGCAAATTTCAGTTGTCCCAGAATTATGTTACATGAATTTACTACGGATTAGGTCTCTCGTATACAATTCTACATTGCATTGCATTGCTTTTGTTATACGTATCCTCTTAGATAAGTGGAGGGACTCATGTCATGCTATGACACCTCAAAGTAACAAGAAAAAACTAACAAAAGTTAAGAAAATAATTACTTGATTAAAGCAAGCTCACAACATATCAAGTTTTTTATCTGATCCTAATGGGAAAGGACAATCCATTACATCATCCCACAACTTATATAAAGTTATGTTATCATTCACTGAGTTTACTTACCTAATGAAACTGTAAATTTAACATAAACCAAACCAAATTTATGAGATACCAACAGAAAGTTACTTCGAATATAAGGAGTGATGCAATCAAGAACCTCTTTAATGAATATACTTCCACATAGTTTTCTCATTAGCATTACCAAAGTGGTTCCCAACATCAATATTGATGGTATTTATGGCCTTTAAACAAAATGAGAATTTAAGCTCAATAATTTTGTACGTGGTTTTTTTTGTCAACATCAAACAACAGTGAGAAAAATTCTCTGCACCTGAGAAAAAGTGTCAAAACTTCTAACCAAGTCATCAAGGGACACATTACACAAGCAAAATGATGAGAAAGAAGTAGAACTCACCAGCAAACGGAGAAAGTGTATTTTGCTTGTTGTAGATGTGATGTGTGGCATGCAGATACTTGTAGAGAGGTTTTATGTCATGTAACTCTCTATGCATCCAGTATATCCCGCACTCCACGAACACGAGATAAACAGTCAAATAGAAGAAGTAGGGGACCCATCCAACATCGCTTATCCTTGAAAAACATTTTGTCCATCCATGTTCAATCATGTACTCTGAGATGGTTGGAAGGGCACAGTACCATGGCATAGCTTTCATGGCAACCCCTATCTGCAAAAGCATTGCTTTCCTCGTAGGAATGGCATCTGTACGCATTATGTTTATCAGAACTAAATTTTTCTTTATTACCAAGCAGATGTAAGAATTTTCTCTCTTGCATTGTAATATCCAAGTTCAACATCCAGAAAGGTGCAGCACACTAAAAGAATGAGACAAGAGGCATCCATAAATTTAGAGACAGAATAATAAATTTGGTGAAATTTCATCTACCAGAATCTGGATTCACATTAGCCACTTTTAATTCCATAAAACACAAATATCAGGATTGCTAACCACAATTTTATTTTCCTCAAAAAATCCAAATTGTTTACAGAAAAACAAGTGCTTTGCTCCGGATAAGCAATTTCATAAAATCTAGTGATGATATCATTGTTTGATCAGCTAACTGACAAATTCAATCTCAGTTCTATGGACTAAAAAATTCATATAAGGAAGCAACAAATTGTATGCAACTCAACTTAGCAGAAAGTTTTGGAACCACTTACAGCAAGAATGGAAGACTCCTATATGAAAATATCACCGTGTTTAGGAAGAATATAATTATAAACATAAACATATAATTAGCACAAATAAACAAACAGATAAATTAAGGTAATCTTTTAATGGCCACGTTTTAAGTTTTTTGTTTAAAAGGCCTTCTTTATAGATCAAATGGTCAATTTAACCTCTGCTATACTTTGTGCTATAAAAGCATCTTTATTCAACTTGGTTGTCGAGCTGTGGGATCTTAGTACCCAAGCGGATCAACTTAACAGTTGAGCTGGACAAGATTTTATGAATAAATATGGCAGAAACGATTTGAAAACACAAAAATAATCCAGTAACTCTACAAGTAAACAATACTTTCGTATAAAACCAATATACAAGTGGAAGAATCATTGGCTGATGACTTTTTTCCATTCCAGCAAGAAGAAAGACAGATCTCACCATTCTTTGAATGAAGATTTTGATTAAAAATGATAATAGCCTTTTGGGATAAAGAAAGTATAATAGTCCGTTCGAAAAAAGACCGAAGAGTGACCATTTTTCAATTTATATATCCATTCAGTCCTCCCCAGCAAATTTCCTAAAAAAAATTCTATAGATAGAAAATTCGTGAAAAATGTGAATTCCCTAAAAATGAAAAAGACCAAGTAACTATGTCAATCAGATATCTGTTAGAGAATAATTTTTAACAAGCATATTCGGCTAAAGAAAGAAATTCAAATAACTTTTAACAAACATATTTGGCTAAAGAACGATTTCCAATCCTTATCCATCAGATTCAAACACAAAAATAGAAAAACTAATCAACAAACCTAATTCGCTTGCCCCAGGAATACACAATTAGAATTCACTTAGTTTACACCCATTAGACAATGGCAGAAACTTCAATAAAAAAAAGAGCACAAATAACTTGAAAAAATCGTGCACAGAGTCAAAGACCCTAAGTGAAAAATGGAAGGTACCCGCTTCATTGAGCTAAAAATTGAAATCCCATAAAAGATCAAAAATAGACATCATCGATCTTGACGTAAGAAACGATTAAAATAAAAACCAATGTTAAAACTCTGAAAAATACATACCTTTCGGAACATAGACATTATACTTCAAGTAGTAGATATAAAAACACCACAAAACCCCAGAAAGCAAGTAGAGCAAGGTCCCTCCGATATAGTTTCGGAGCCATCCCCTGAAGAAGTGAGGGAGTGAGACCCACCATTTTACCGGCAAGAGTGAGCCCAGAACAATGTCATTGAACCACGACGTCTCCTCCACAAATAACTGCAAATAATCCTCCATCGCACGTCAGGATTCCGGCAGATTCCGGTGGCCGGCGAAACTCCCTTTCCTTGTTGGAAAATGACTTTACGCGAAGAAAAGATAGATTTTATTTATATACAGGGAGAAGTGCATGTGTGGTGGGGGTGTGTGGGGGGAGGGGAGTAGAGGGTGGGTCGGCCTGTTCTGTCGTCATTTCTTGAGATTCTTTTGGCGGTGTTTTGTTTTATTAAGGTCATGTTTGGGAGAGATTTAGATTTTTCTACAATAAATCAATTCTTATTTTCAATCACACATCTTTTAATAAAATAATATTTTCATCACATCAATAATTTTTTCTTCTTTTTCAACCACACATTTCCCATCATATCACTATTCAAAATTAATTTTTCTCCCAAAAATCCATCTCAAACAAGCTTTAAGGTTTCGTCAGTGATTGCCACTAATAAAAATTGGGGTGAAAAATATTATCAATTTATGTGAAAATATTGGAGTATTATTTAATATTTTTTAAAAATAAATATTCCTCCAAAGTACAAAGTCATTCAGCGATAAATGCAAGGGTAATTGGCGCAAAAAGTCTATATCTTTGAATATTGTTGTCCAAAACGTCTCTACCTTTCGTTTTTTGGAGCAGAACGTCCCTACCTTTCACATTCTTTGCACTGAATGTCCTTTTCACCAATTTTTAACATAAAATGACCAATATACCCTCCTATATAAATAAAACAAAAAAGAAAAGAAAAGAAAAGAAAAATAAAGAATAAATTACAATCTGCTCCTAAACTTTTTTAAAAATACAAATCAATCCAAAACTTATGAAAATATTAAAAATAGCAAAAAAAAATTAATGATATATCTATTCACATACATAATTATGCACGATCGCATATACGAATCTTGCTGCTCTGAATTCCTACTTCCATTTATGCATTTCTACCGATTTAATTGTTTATTTCATATAGAAAGGAAAGTGGAATATCAGTTTGGGGGGTTTCTTCCACAAGAATTTTGAAGGGTTTGAAATTGGATCTAATCGCTGGTGTGTCGTTTTGATCGTCGGATGGGAAAATCTTCAGAAATATTTCTATCTTTCCCTCAGCCTCCTCCACCCCATCACCGTCAAATTTTGGACTAGAAAATCAAGGGATTTGGGCCGAGGAACTCTTCTATGATGGCCAAATTGAAGTGGGTCATTGTTAGTTCAAGCTTTAGTCGACTCTTAAGGGAGGTTCTTGGATGTGTCAGCTGGTTGGCCTGGTGGTGAGAGACCGAAAGATTTATTGAAAAAATCGAAACTCTTTTCTGGGATTGAGAATTCTAAGGAGTACTTAAACGGGCCACCATTCGAGCTAAACAATTTGTTAAGAAATCTTGCTGTGATTCTTCAACGCCGATGTGTTTGTTTCTCTTATGTGATTCTTAACTATTGGTTACCAATCTGACAGTGAAATTTGGGGAATTTTGGAAGCATGGTGGGAGGGGAGAGGGAGATAAGGAGTGGAGAAGGACAGATGGGCCAAATATCAATCCCCAATTTGGTGGCTAGTCCAAATTTTGGCGACGACGACGAAGACGGGATGGAAGTGGTGGAGGGAGGTGGAGGAAGAGAAGAGAAAGTGTGTATTTTTGTTATTTTTAATATTTTCATAAGTTTTGGACTGATTTGCATTTTTAAAAAAGTTTAGGAGCAGATTGTAATTTATTCTTTATTTTTCTTTTATTTTCTTTTTTGTTTTATTTATATAGGAGGATATATTGGTTATTTTATGTTAAAAATGGTGAAAATGACCTTCAGCGCAAAAAATGTGAAAGGTATGGACGTTCTGCGCCAAAAAACGAAAGGTATGGACGTTTTCCACAACAGTATTCAAAGGTAGGGACGTTTTGCGCCAATTACCCTAAATGCAATTTAACCGTCAACCAGTTTTGCAACAACGCCACAAACAAAAGATAAGAAAGATTTGCTAAGATTGAACCCAAAATTCAATAGATTTTAATTTTCAAATGCAAACGTGGATAGTCAAGTTCGCTCTCTATATTTTTGTTCAATAATGATCTATAGTATTAGACAGCATGTCACATCGATAACTTTTCACATTTCAAAACCAAACGTGATTGTCCCTTCCGTCTTGCTTATGATGTCTTGATTGATTTCACTCCACACAAGCGAGGACTAGTCCAAGCGATCTTATAGATTGTAGAGAAGTTGAAGTTGGGTAGGCTAGCAATAGAGTTTTTACCGTATGTATCAAAAGCATTTAACCTAACTTGGCTTGAAATTTTTCTACTGTAAAAACACATAATTTTCAGGTGTCAAATCGCTGTAAGGATACAAAATACATTCTATTCTAAAGAGTCCACTTCAACATTCCCAGCTCCAGTGTGCATGTTCATGCGCCTGAATCCAATGCAAATGAACTTGTATTGTAAAAATGAACGAAAGAAAATGCTAGATCTGGGTCACCTGTATCCGTATCCATCCTCATAGATGTTAACACATAACTTCAAATAATTGAGCAAGAGCTCCCAAAGCATCGAAAACATGAAGCACGTGTGGGAGCAACAACTCACGACTTTTTGGGAATATCGGCCCCTATTGATCATGAAATCATATAAAACATAATGATGAAAATACGGAACAAAAGGATGGCGGTGAACATCAATTGGGTAGTTTTTTTTTTTTATCTATTTTATATATTGTTTATAATTTTAAATTGAAAATTAGTACTTAAAAATTAAAAGAAATGTTTCGTTACTTACCCAACTAATGGTTATGGTTTACTTATTAAACTTCAAAGTACTTTCCAATTGTCACTCATCTTTGAGACATTGCACTCTATCCATCACCCGCTAAATTCTATTTCCCGAGTTGTCGATTTGTCAAACAGAAAATCCACATGGTATGTACAATCATTAAAAAATAACAATTTAACTAAACTATGTCTGTATAATATTTCATTACTCACCCAATTTATTTTATGGTCGCGATTTACCCATCAAATTTCAAACCGCTTTCGAATGTTCACTCATATTTGAAAGGTAGCACTTCATCCATCACCCCCAAATTCAAGGTTCTGCAGATCGCGCGTTTTTCTTTGTCAACAACGTTTTTCGATCATATCAACCAATTTATAATAAGCTTCTGCCTCAAATGAAGTGGCCGTTCGATCCAAACAAAAAATAACTGGTTATTTAGGGATTATTATAATGGTCATTTCTCACTTTTAGGAGGTATTACAGTCATTTCTGATTTCTCATATTTAGGGTATTATATTCTATTAGCATTAACATTTTGTAGTGGCTATGGGGGTACTGATAAGCATCTTTTTGTGTAACTAGTTATTCCTTAACTTACACTCGAGTTGATTATTGGACGCTGAAAATTGTAACAATTTTACTTGAAGTTATTGTAGTGATAAAATCTCCTTCCGTAGAATTATTACGCGAAAGTGCTAGTGTGGAAGTGGAACAATTCACTTTGGCTCATTTTTATAGTTTACACGCTTTTATATTACTTTTAATATAAATATAAAATACTACTTGTTGACCCCAAAAAATGTTGCCAACAGATGCCGAGCCCACTCGTGCAAACGCAAGCTTGATCCAACACGCTAATGCCGATCGACGGTCATGATGACTCCAGGTAAAAGGCGTGGGAGTGGCTAAAAAGGCACGAGACGTTTCCGTTCAGGCCGCCGGCATGAATATGATACGATTGTATAAGAAACCAATCGACAAAGTACGATCTCTAGCAATGAAATGTTGTAAAAATGTAGTTGAAACGAGAAAATTGCTCCAAAATATTCAGTTTACTCTCCGATTTTGCATTAGTCCCTCTTTCGTTACATGGTGGGGGTATTTATAGTGTTACAATTCGAATGGTGACCTTTGGATCAATTTACACGTGGCCTCATCTCTTCGGCCAAGACATCAAATCCTAACAATCAAGTTGACCTTCCTAACTTTGCAAAACATTAAATGCCCTTATATTGACAAGACAAGACACAGATAAACTTTTCATAA